GAGTTCCAACCAAATCTGTTTCTCTTCTGCACCCTCCAGCAATTGTGCTTCAGGAGGGCGAACTGCTCTGCTGCTCTTCCCTATTAGCACACTTTAGATAGCAAGACCGAAGAGCCTTCTGGTGTTTTTCCAGAAGCAAAATTCACAGAGCATTTAAAATACAAGAATTGATTAAAAATATTGCACATGTCCAGTTCAAGCTTTCGGGTTGGCCAAGGGAGCCAAGGAAAGGGGAGGACTTTTGGGGCCCTTTCGAAAGGACTCTTTCTTTGTTTCAGTTGCGAAACTAACCGGTGCTTCTTGGTGTGCTTGTAGCCGGCAAATATCCTCCTGGATGAACACGGCCACGTAAGGATATCGGACCTGGGCCTGGCTTGCGATTTCTCCAAGAAGAAGCCTCACGCCAGCGTGTGAGTATTGTGCCGGTGCTGCTAAGCGGCTTGATGCTCAGAACCGAGTTCCTGCTCTGCAGCCCTTGAAGGGACCCCCTGGAAACTCCAAGGGCTGTGGGACGCAGGGGCACGACGGAGGAACCTCCAGCAGAGCTGGCAGTCTGCCCAGGAGATGGTGCACCGCAGCTGTTTGGATCTGCAGCCCTGTGCACGCGAAGCATATCTGTGACTTTTGCCTCATTTTGCATGATTAATTCTGCCATAGAGCCATGTGGGGCATTCGCATCCCATGCCAACTCCTGGAAAGCTTCCTTTGCCACCCCACCCGTTTGGCTTCTCAGAGCTCACCAAGCATTGCCCCATACTTTCCCAAGGACGGGGGGTTGCAGGGAGACCAAAGTCAGGAGCCGGACAGGAAGCGAATGCTGCAGTCTCCTCCTTTTCCTTGGGGCTCCGGCTGAAGACTAGAAATGTATGCGGAGAGAGAGAGAGAGAGCTTTGCTTCCTCGTTGCCTCCTGTCAGGGCCTTAGTGCTTGGGGGGGGGGCACAGTCCCACTGGGTACCCCCTCTTCCCTCCGTGTGGCCAAAGATGAGCTGGCACCGAAGGAAGGCAGGAACGTGTTGCTTTAGTTGTTCAGGTCGATTGCAAGAGTTGGCCCCAAAGGTTCCCAGTCAGTCCTAGCTGCCCTGTGGTTGTTGCCTTTGCCTGCCTCCAGTTCTGCCTTTTCCGCCTGGGTCCTCCTGCAGGTCCTTCTCGCTCCTGCCCGGGCTGCTGCATCCGTCCTGCAGGGTGAAGCCACAAAGTAGCAGGTCAGCCCAGGTATGGGGGGAAGGGGCCGTTTGCTGCCCTCTGGGCTGGGAGTGTCGCCTTGCGGCCCCCGGGAAACTCAGTGCTCTCCCGGCCATCCCGACCACAGGTGTCATGATTTCATGTTTTGGTGTGTGTGTTCCTTTAAATGTTAAGTTTGACTGCAGTAAAATGAGAAGAATGATAGACGAGTGTATTATGATTGGCTGCTGACTGAGAGTGTGGGAGGAGGAGTGACTGAGAGGATTCTGTGTGTGTGTGTGTGTGTGTGTGTGTCGATGAGGAGAGAAAAGTATGGAAGAGTTTTGAAGAGATTCTGTGTGTGATGTTTGAAGAGAGGATACACTCTGTGGGACTATGGGATTTTGAGTCTAATTCTGTGTGAATAAGACCAACAGTTTAGTCTGTGTGACTAAGAGAGTTTGGTGTAGCCAGTTTGGTGTAGTGGTTAAGTGCGCGGACTCTAATCTGGGAGAACCGGGGTTGATTCCCCACTCCTCCACTTGCACCTGCTGGATGACCTTGGGCAAGCCATAGTTCTCTCAGAGCTGTCCTTGAAAAAGAACAGTTTCTGTCAAGAGCTCTCTCAGCCCCACCTGCCTCACAGGGTGTCTGTTGTGGGGAGGGGGAGGAGTTTGTAAGCCGCTCTGAGACATCTTTGGGTAGTGAAGGGCGGGGTATAAATCCAATCTCTTCTTCTTCTTCTATTCTGTGTGAATAAAACAAAGAGACTAGCCTGTGTGGCTATATACCATGTTTCCCCGAAAATAAGACACTGTCTTATATTTATTTTTTCTCAAGAAGACACACTAGGGCTTATACCACAAATGCATAGAAATCCTGCTAGGGCTTATTTTTGGGGTAGGTCTTATTTTCAGGGAAACAGGGTATATGAGAGAGAGAGTATATTGAGTGTATAAACCTGTCAGAGTGGAGTTTAGAGTGAGAGACTGTTTGTGGCACCAAGCTTTGCCAGTTATATCTACAAGTTCCTTTCTTCAGCAATAGTTCAAAATAACCAGAACTTTTAATTCCTGGTAGCACCAGAAAACTACCAAGTTTATATACACCGAGAGTGTTTAAAAGGAAAAACCGTTTCCCCTACAAGTGAGCACCCCACACCAGGGCTGGCTGCTCTCCTCCCCAGCTTCCAGCTGCTCCCTTAATTCCTGCCTCCTTCAGCTGGGGGCCTTTTATCATTTTCCCGACTGCTCCCAGCTCCTGCCTCCCTGTGCCGAGTAGGCCCTTTCCCCCAAGGGGACCTGTACCCCAATCGTGCTCCTCCTTCTCTTTCCTCCTACTGTCTCCTCCCTTTTATCCTCAGGCTTTAAGTGCTCGGCCTCCTTCCCCCCTTCCCCCCCAGGGTTAGGGTGCCCTGGAGTGTGAAAACGCCTCCTTGTGGGATTTTGCCAAATTGCGGCACTAAAGAACTGTGGAGACTTGGATCAACAGAGTAACCTTCTCCCTTCTGCATGAAAACGGTGGTGTTACATTTGGGGACTGTGGATGTGTCTTTGGGTTTCAGAAGTCCGGAACCTTTGCTTTGGCCATGCACTCCTGTGTGCTGCCTCCTGTGCAGAGCGTTGACCTACATGCTAAACCCCCCCCCCCCCAGCCAGTCTGTCCACACACCGCTTGCTGGGGATCAGTGTGCTACTCTCTGATCTGGTCTCCTTCACATGAACGCATGAATTGAGGCCTGGGTCCATCACAGTCAGTATTGTCTACTCAGACTGGCAGCCGCCCTCCAGGGCCCCAGGCAGAACTCTTTCCCATCACCACCTGCCTGGTCCTTTTTCAATGGGAGGTGCTGCAGGGGATTGATCCCGGGATCTTCTGCATGCCTGAGTCATGGCCTCTCCTGTCCTCGGAAGCTGCCTCATACTGGATTGGACCCTTTGCCCATCAAAGTCAGCCTTATCGACTTAGTCTGGCAGCAGCTATCCCTACTACCTGATCCTTCTAACTGGAGATGCTGGGGATGGATCCTGGGACCTTCTGCATGCCAAGCAGGTGCTCTGTTGCTGAGCCACAGCCCCTTTGCTGTCCTAGGCCTGTCTCTGGTATTTGAGGGGGCTTATGTGTGTCTTGCTGTGTCTCCCTTGCGCAGGGGCACCCATGGGTACATGGCCCCCGAAGTGCTACAGAAGGGGACGGCGTACGACAGCAGTGCCGATTGGTTCTCCTTGGGCTGCATGCTCTTCAAGCTTCTCCGAGGGTAAGTCCTGCCAGTGGCTGTTTCCAGTTGTGCCCTTTCCACATGTCACAGATTCCAGATAATGGAGGGCCCTAGGGGTGTGCATTTGACTAAATCCAAGCTGGAAAAATATCCGAAAAATATCTTATTGGTATTTCCTGGCTATTCTTTCGGCTGGATATAGAGTTGGCTATTTTTCGGCTGTCCAAAATGGCCAAGCCCCAAAAATCCCGAAAATATTTGAGATTTTTTGGGACCTCTGGATAGTCAAAGTTAAAAGGCATTTAAAGGGACTTCTGGGTGGACATGCTGCTTGGAGAAGGTGTTTAAAGGGCCTGTGAGGCTTTTAAACACCTTTGGGGCTCACTCCTGGAGTCACAGCTTGGAGAAGGCATTTAAAGGGACCACAAGCCCTTTAAACACCTTTCAACCCCCCTCCATTGAAACTAATCTTTTTGAAACTTGGGGGGTTTTTTGAGGAGAGGCACCAGCAGCCATGCTGAAAATTTGGTGCTTCTACCATGAAAAATAGCTTTCTGGAGCCCCCAATACCCCTGGATTGATTCTTCATTGTATCCTATGGGGACCATTGATTATAATAGTACCCATAGGGTATACTGGCGACGGAAAAATTCGTGATTTCTGGAAAACCCCAAATCTGAATATCATACCACTACACTACATCAGGAATATTGGGAAATACTGATATTTTTTCAGGTTCAATATACCTGAACCCCCAAAGTACCTTTTTTTTGCACACCCCTAGAAGGTACCTGTCTCCAATGCTCCCTCTAAGCCGTGGAGTCTTGGGAGCAAAAATTCTACTTCGTGAGCTGCTGGCATTAAAGTTGTGAGCGAGCGATTTTTCTTCTGCAGAAATTAGCTTGCTCTGGGGCCGTCCTTTCTGAGCGAAGACAAAAATGTGTGAGCCGGAGGCTAAAAAACTGAGCTGGCTTGCACTAACTCAGCTTAGAGGGAACACTGGTCTCCACACCAAATGAAAACTGGAGACACGCTTCATTCTTGCACCCGAAAAGATTTATTTCTATAGTGAGTAAACCTGCCTGTAGGGGAGCCTAGTTCCATGTTTCTCACAGGGGTCAGAGTGCTGGACGTGCCTCTAGGCGGGAAGGATGCTAGCGCAGAACCAGTGACTCGGGAAGAGACACAACAGGCAGCTGCCTCCTAGAGCAGGTCACTTTGCTGGGCATCAGGAGAGCCTGAGCGGCTCAATTCCTCTGGACGCAGAGGGCGGCCTCCGTTATGGGCGGCACCCTGGGCTCCCAGCAGCCACGGGTCGGCCACTGTCTTTCTCCCCCTTCTTTCTCACTTTGGGACATCCCTTACTAACCGGTTCAGACCCGCCCTGCGGTAGAAGAGGCATTCAAGCTCGTTCACCCCTTGGAGACCAACAAGACTTTCGAGGTATCAGCTTTTGAGAGCCAGAGCTCTCAAAACTCCCGATGAAGGGAGCTCTTTGACTCTCCAGAGCTCATAACCCCAAAACCTTGTTGGTTCGTAAGATGGGATGGGACTCCGCTCCAGCTCCGGCATGAACAGTGTCACGAACGCGGTACTAGGCCAGGCAAGAGCAAAGAGTCCAAAGACAGTCCAAAGTCAAAACCGGGCAAGCAGCAATACCGAGAGACCAAGTCCAAATCACCAACCGTTAGAGTAGTTGTTAAAGCCAGAGTCCTAAGAAGTCAGAAGCCAGAGAGTCAGAGGTCCGATGTGTAGGTCAGGAGCAGAGTCGTACGAGCTGGAACTGGAACACAGGTGGTGCAGACCTTCGTCCAGAATGACTGGCTGCTAGCACAACTAGTCAGTGTGCGTGCGAGAGCTAAACAGCCCGTAAGGCTGTCGGCAGTTAGCGCGCCCTGATTGCGTCCCGGCTCCCGCTAGTACTCAGGGCTAAAAGAGCGCCTACCGCGCATGCGCGCATCCCGCCGACGGGATGCCATGTCCCGTCGGCGTTGTTCCCACAAACGGGATACCGGTGGGGGCAAGTCAGGGGGCGTGTCGCTCTGGCGTGCGTCTGCTTCAGCTGCTGCTGGAGCAGTTTCCGTGGCTTCAGTCCTGTCAGGTGCGGGGTTTTCAGGATCCGGGAGCTCATCCCCAGCAGTACTGAGGTCTTCTGCTGGGGCCAAGTGCT